AAAAGTATAACAATTGCCAATGCAGTGCAATGTAACAGGTTTAATTCAAGTGTATGTGTGACCTATGTTCTCTTTTAGTTGTGGATAGAGTAGGGAAGGATTAGAGCTCCCATCAAGTTTTTATTGCTCTCTGTGTTCCTTTTAAGAAGATTCAATCTCATTAGTTGTCACCGAGAGAGAAAGGGATGGGAAATCCAAAATTTTGTTGTTACCAGAAAAGAAAAAAAAAACAATGTGAGGGGTAATCATCCAATGGGGACACTTGTTCAGATGACAACTGTCTAAAGCTGCCCACACACCTTACAATTATCTGCAGATTTTCTGTGGTCAGATGGAAAAAGTGCAACAGATTCCTCCATCTACTCTACTGGGCCAAGTTTCAGTATCTTGCTAGTCGTCCCCACTGACTGTCAAAATACCTGAACAATCTGATTGGATGCCGGCATTGTTCAGGTATTTTGAAAACCATCGGGCCGACTAGCAAGATACTGAAGCTTGGCCCAGTAGGAGATTCCTCCATCCACACAGTTTAGCGTTGATGGAGGAGTTTGTTGCACTTTTTCCATCTGACCATAGAAAATCTGCAGATAATCTAAAGGTCTAGGGCCAGCTCAAGAGTGGAATTCCTCTAATTCTGTAGAAATATCCTCTCACTTCCTGTTGTGTCCCCAGTAGGATGCAGACATCAAAAAATGAGCTGACAGACGTTTTAAGCCTTCCCTACTCTAACCTAAGGAATATATTGTGATATTGTATATATTTTTATATTTTAACATTCCTTTCCTTTTCCAGGGCCGGATTTACTTTCTCTGCTGCCCCAAGGCCAGGTTCCTCAATGCGCCCCACTACCCACCAACCCCCCTCCCCCTCCCATGGAGAACGGCAGACCTGCAGGCTGCATGCAAGTGATCTCGGTGACATAGCTGAGATCACTTGTACAAAACAAGCGGCGGCTTCCTCTCTGTACATTTAGCTCTGCTTGCCCAAAGCAGGGCTAAATGTAGAAAACAGCTACTGCATGCCCTGGGCATCGGGAGATAGGAATTCCACATCCCTGCTTCCCCTCTACTCCCTGCTGCCCCAAGGCCAGGCCTTGGTTGGCCTTGTGGGAAATCCGGCCCTGCAGCTGCCCCATCCGCCTACCTGCCAATAGAGGAAAAGCTTATTTGAGATTTTAGGGATTGGGTTTATATCTACTTTATGTGAATCTTTTTGTGTGCATGGTTCATACAGGTTCACTTTAAATCCTGATATAAAGGTAACCTTCTGATGGGAAAGTGGGGGCTTTGATGTAAAGGGGTCACCTAAAGTGAAGGAGGGGCTCATGATTTAAAGGGGGAACCCCACATTTTTTTGTGAGGTCCCCCCTGAAAAGCTATACCAGATCCTATCTCTGACAAGATAGTTATGGATTTTGGAGGGGGCCACATATCATTTTTTACATTTGCATTTTTTCACATTTTAGGCTTGGGTGACTTGTGATTTGGCATACTTTTAAAGGAGAACTATGAGGTGAGTGCTTTTCACTCACCTCATAGTTCTAGCCGACCTGTGACAATGAGACTGTCACAGGTCGGCTCAGTAGATCGGGAGGTGAGCGAACACATGCGGGAGGGGGGGGATGGATCGGGAGGGGATGGATTCCCCCATCCGATCTGCCAGCGCTGACTGGCGGAACGGATGGGGAGGGGGCGGATACAGCTGCCTCTACCTCTAGATAGGCAGAACCAGCTGTCACTCACGCAGCTGGGCGGATCTCGACATCGATGTCGGGATCCGCTCCGACTGCGGCGTCTCAGTATACCGCGAGCTGTAGCTCGCGTTATACTGAGCTTAGGGTGATGGGGGGACGCTAGTTTGTGTCCTCCCGTTACCCTAAGGAGAACTATGGGGAAAAGCCCTAACCCCATAGTGCTCCTTTAAAGGGTTGAGAAATGCTGGTCTAGCAGGATGCAGAAGAATTGTTAGCTTACCAGCTGCATCTACTATTAAAAAGAGGAAAGTTACATTTCTTTTAGTACATTTAACATGCTAACGTGCTTTGAAAATGCCTTTTTATCATTCTAGATGGAACATACTAGAAGGTTTACATGGACTTTAAGGCAGTCATTAAAATATAAACAGGCAGATCATTTTTTACAGTATTTTTTATAATGAGGGGTAAAACCAACAGTTTTGAGACCAGCAAACAAAGTGGTCTGCATTAGATTCCTGCCCTTCCCAGATCTTTATTTAGAAGCAGGTCAGATGTGAGGGATATCTATATCACATAGTTATTTTCATTCCCACATTCCAGACCCTCCAACTTCAGACTGAATGTCTCTTGTACGTTGTGTGACAGAGAAATGATTTGGCACTCTGACGACTCCATAGGGAGTTAGAAACACTGCAAACCAATTTGTTTGGTAGGAGGATCAGAAGAAAAAGTTCCACTATGTGCCATCAAATTTTGGAGGAACTGAACTCTGGAAGTTGAGCTCCCCAAAAAAGGCAGGAAAAGGCATAGACCCACTCCCCAGTATTGCCTGCGCTCTCCCTTCAGCTGATCTTCCCCATTACTGAGTTGCCATGCCTTGTTCTGTACTTGGTTTCTGTTGAAGGAAGTCATCCTGGTGGAGGCAGGCCTTTGCTTCTTCATGCCATACCCTCCAGCAAGGAGAACAGTGAGCAGCACGGCAGTGATATTGCCAAATCTCACGCCCAATCTTCAGAGACTAGCAGTCAGAGGCAGCAGTGCCTTAGGCCTTAGATGTCACACTGCAGCTGCAGGAGAGCAGCAGCACTAAGATATAACAAAGGATAAAAAAAGGGAATATATATATATAAATCTACTTTAAATTTGTGCAAATGTCTACACATGATTTATTTTTTATTTTATATGAGTGATTTGTTTTTTGAAACATTAATAAAAATACTTTGAATAATTTAGAGTATTTTTTACAGACTGCTTACGGCTATTGCTGTAGATATAGCTCAGTGTTTTTTTTTGCTGACGTTGCATGTCACATGTACGCCTTTATAACCGTTCTAGCTCCTGAATCACTTAATGTGTACAGTTCCTGTTTTTTTTTTTTTTGCTTGTGGTCATGGTGTGCAGTACTATATAAAGTTAAGGAGAGGAAATTCAGTAGGTCATGTGGCTGGAATCGGTTACAGATAAGTGAAAACAGCCAAGGAACGATGAGGAAGGAAGGAAGCTCTTTCTACATTATTTTCAACATCCTTAATTGTATCTCTTGATTTCTAGCAAAACAAAAGGTATACAAATCCATGTTGAAAAAGGTCGCCAACCTTTTGGACCTCATGGACCACTAAATTCATAACTTTAAATCCCGCGGACCACTAATATGATTTAAAAAAAAAAAAATATATACAGTGGGACAAAAAAGTATTTAGTCAGCCACCAATTGTGCAAGTTCTCCCACTTAAAAAGATGAGAGAGGCCTGTAATTGGCATCATA